CAAATATTACCTCTATGAGCCTTAGCAGACAAATCTACGCTTATAAGCCAAATGATCCCAACGAATGACTAGAAGGATAGACAGAAAAACTGGGTTTCGAAGAGTCTCTTAATGATTTCATGATGTTTGTACATTGATTACAGTTGAAAAATTTGGTGGAAGATACTGGTTAGCTGGCCTCGTTGGAAATCGAAGGCCGATTGCCTGGGATCTTTTGCAGTTGTATAGTAGTTGTTTGACCTTGTTTTCGCAACTTGGTCATATTGCTAGGAAGACCTAGAGGAACGCAACTTTTCCCGAGTCCATAGTATGCATGAGAATTTCCCGAGTTGGACTGTGGACTTGATACGCCGGTCCGACTCTGACAATGATCATGCATACTATGGACTCCAGGAAAGGTTCATTCCTCTATGTCTTCCTGTCAATATGACCGAGCTGCGAAAAAAGATTAAAAAACTACGATACATCGAGAGGAGACTGCGACTAAAATAGAGGCCACTGCATCTTGGTCTTCATATCTACTTTTTTCATTGATTTTTGCGAGGAAATCAATGACGCAAAATCATGCTATCCTGCTCTGCCAGTTACGAGCGTTTGTCTTTCCTTCTGTAACAGGCTTTATGAGATCATGCAATAACTATTATACCAATTATGACACCCATTCTTTATTGTTTGATATATTTTGGTTAATGAATGTTTTCGCGCTTTGGCGATGTCGTTCACATTGGGATGGATGAGAACTTACTACTGAATTATCAGAGTAGCATGATTATGTGCTGAGAATTTAGAAAAAATCAATGATCACAGTTCCAAGACAATTCTAATATGGCTTTGGGTGAGGCCACTTAACGAATCCCTTCCGTCCAAGTTTTCAACAAACAGGAAAGTCCAATGAAGTGAGATCATCACTTGATTTTTCTCAACCCTGATTTTCTTCATATACTCTTATAGCTATTTGTTGGGCTCATTATGTGAAATGAAGCAGCTAGTTGAATAACTTGCAGCAAGTCGGAAAGTGGGTACTGACTGTAAATTTTCTATTTTGACAAAGCTCAGCTTATTTGTCATTCGTAGTTTGGAATAGGCATTATTGTGTCAAAAGCTGTGGCTATTCATTGTGAGAATATAGGACCAATTTCAAAGGTGAATGAAAGATGAATTGATAAAGAAGATATAAAATGTTAATGTGATCACTTTTAAGGAATATCCTCAATAGCATGAGCGATTTCATAGTGCCTTTGAACAGCCTATTTTGCAATATAAATTTTTCGATAGCTCAGATTAACCTCAAGGTTATTAATTTAATATTAGATGTATTCATGCCATTTCGTTTAAGGTGATGAAGAATTGGCATTAGAATTTTCAATGATATAAGTAGAGCTGACGCTTCCTTTTAATTTCGCATAGCCTTGCCTTCCCAAAAGTTGTCCTCATCCAGGCTAAAGTGGACTGCTGTTTCGCCCTCGCATAAGTCTTGTCAACACCCCCAGCAGGAATCGAACCGTGACAGTGCAGCATGTGAAATTGACATCCGCCCTGTGACGCAAGGGCATCGTTAAAATGTGGCCGAGTGGTTAACTTTTCAAGCTCACATGCTGCACTTTAATGGTTCGACTCCCGCTGGATGAGTTGATAAGACCGATGCTAGGTCGAAACTGCCGTCCACCCTGGATGAGAACAACTTTTGGGAAAGCAAGGGTATGTGAAATTCAATGGAGGCGTCAGCTCTACTCATACCATTGGGGGAAAATTCTACTACCAGTCTTTCATCACCTTAAACGAAATAGGGTGAATACATCTCATATTATTGATTTAATGGTAGTCTCAAAATTCTACTTACATACGAAAATTTATTAATATAATTTGGACGACAGCCTCATGTGAACTGACAGGCTGGATGAGTGGACGAGGCTTGGGCGAGGTTGAAGATGAAGAGGTTGATGAGGATTGGTTAGGATAGGCTGTATGTAGTAGCTGATTTGGCTAATCCGTGGTGAATGAATTACTAAATTATTGAATGTGATAATGGATTATTTTTGTGCTTGAGTCATTTGACTC